AAAATATGGTTCATGTCGAATTATGGTCGTGAACGACTCAATGCAAGGTTTTCAATAACCATAGATAGAACTCAAGAACTTTAATGATACTACTCATTTCAAGAATGTTTAACTCATATGGTTCATGCGGGATTATGGGCATGAACTACTCAACTCAAGGACTCAAAGATACTTTACATCTCAAGACTATTCGACTTATTGGGTTCATGCGAAATTATGGGCATGAACAATTCAACTCAAGGACTTCATAGGTAACATGTAATATTCCCATGATTAGAAATATAATCTCAAAGGGAATTAGGAACTCAAAACTTAAGACTTAGAACTTGAAGATACTATTCCTCTCAATGATACTCAATTTATGGAGTCCATACATAATTTATGGTCATGAACGACTCGACTCGAAGGTCTACATAACTACATGGAACTCATGTATACTACTCTTCTCATTCTCTTACTTACTTACTCAAAACTTAGTTCAAATCAATAATGGATCTCAAAGGATTCACAATTGAACTCAAAGGCTTTCTTGAACTCTACTCTTAACTCTCTCTTGAATGTGAATTATTAATTCAAGAGTTTTGGTTCATGATATGGAGGATTTCATGATGACAAGGTAGACTCATGAATACATTCTCTTCATCCTCATACTCACTTGCTCGAGTCTTGAAAGAAGTTACTAGAAGTTGTAGAAGGCTCCTCAAATTGACTTCCTTAGAATGTTTGAAAGAATTCTCAAACTTAACTCTTAACTCTACCTTGAATTTGAATTATGAATTCAAGGTTATGATCATGTTATGAATGATTTCTATGTGTTTAGAAGTAGCTTAAAGTAGTTAGAATCGAAAATGAGTGAAGGTACCTTTCGAAATGACTCAAACGGAGCAACCGATTGTAAACTGGATGGGGCAGACGACCCTGGCGCTCTGAGTGTCGCGGGGCGCCAGCCCCTAAAATTCAGAACCTTATTTGGGGCGCACTGGCTGGCGTGACATGCCAAGCCCCAACCCAGAAAATCCGACGAATTTCTTTGCTCGTTTTCTCACCATATCTCGCCTAGAATCGAACGGTTTCTTCACAATCACTTGGATTCAATTACTTAACATAAGTACACTCTAATCTACTCAATAAAGCCTTTTAAAAACTCACTTTAATCTCTAGAAATCATCAAAACCTCAACAAAACAAGATTTAGAATGAACGTCAAGAACACCTATCAAGAACTCTAATCTTTCAACTTTAAGAGTGAAATTGCGCTGAAAATAACATGATTGGCGTGTGGGTGAACAAACCCAACACTATGGAAGCTTACATACCTCTTAGGGATTAAACCCATGGCGAAAATCCGCAACAAAACGCAAGAATCTTGACGAACGCTTTAATCCTCTCCTCTTTTCTCTTCTTGAACTCTCAACTAAAACTCTAGGCCTATATTAGGATTATAAAACTGAACCTAATAGGATTAGACCCCTAAAACATTACTAAAAATGAATTAAATCTGATTGGATAAGGAAAAGACCAAAACACCCCTTACTATTTTCGAGTAACTTTCCTTAACTGGACAACCTGACTTCAAAAGAGCATATCTCACTCATCCGAACTCGAAACTTAGCAAACTTGGTGGCGTTAGAAAGATAATTCAAAGACCTTTCATTGGGTAACTTTTAGCCCACCTTACTCATTTTGTACTGAATGTTATGGTCGTTTGAAGTTGACCCAAAACTTAAAGGAACTTAGGAATGACTTCAATGAATTCTCTCTAGTTCTTCTTGGAACTCAAGGTGCTACATCTAGTGACCTTAACACTTAAGAAATTTTTAATCTCCTCGGTAAAATCCTACTCACAACGAAGGATGGTTCAAGTCTCAGTTCGAAAAAAATTCTGATGTGTTACAATTTATTCTTAATAAACTAATATATCTTTAAAAAAATAATATGATCATTATTTTAGTTAAATGAGTTTAATGATTAAATAGGTTTATTATTAAAAAAAGACTTTAATGACATGTCATGCCAACCAGGAGAGAGTGGTTTTTTTGGAGTGTCAAGTATATTTGGAGGAAACTAGTGATAGTTGAGTGATATTTTGGTGTTAAATGAAACATAAATGATATTTCAAGGCAATTCCCTAAACTTGGATGACTATTTAGGGAATTGACTCAAATATTTGTGATTAGGCAAAGAGAGATGGGCCGGATAATAAAATCTACTTAAAACATAATTGAGAGTTTGCTTTATCAATTCATGAATATACCACACTCGACAGTTTGAGAATTTAGCCTTATACAATTTGAATTTCTACCTAGAAAATGTTAGTACTTTTAAGTAGATTTTATTATTCGGCCCATCTCTCTTTGCCTAATCACAAATATCTCCATCATAATATATTAAATAATTTTTTTTAATGATATAAATTAATAAAAGTGAACAGAATAATACTATTTTTTTTATGGTTATAATAACTAGTAACTTAATTGCTTGTTAGATTACAAATACTATACTTACCTTACTTAAATAGTAATACATCTAACTGCCTAAATACATTTTTATATGTTAATTAATAAAATAAACTTTAAAGTTCCATATTTAAGTTACTTTAAATAAAATTAAAAAGGTAAAACAAAAGCGTAACTTAATATTCTATATTTATTTTCTTTCCTTTTTATGTTTATTTTATTTACTTAAATTTTTAGATTTCTTTTTCTCTTACCTTTTTCGTTTTATTTTCTTCCACTTAATTCAATATCTTCTTTCTTTTATTTTGCAATTTGTCATATCTACCTCTTTATTTTTCCCCGATTACCACGCTAAATTTACTCTCTACTTTGAAAAATAATAATTATAAATTTGCATTTTTTTCAGTAACTCTTTATATCATTTTAATATTCAATAGTCCTCATATTTTGTAAATCAAAAGAGCAAAAAGAAAGAACTCACACTTCGAAGTGACTGTCATTCTCATGATTTTTCGGTATGTTGAGCTCCTTCAAGAAATAAGTTTTAATACATATTTTGTTAGATTTTGTAATAATTTCTATTGTATATATTCTAATTTCTAATAAATTCATTTATACAGACAAATTATATTTTTGCTTTCTTAATTTATGTGAGGCGGTAAATTTTTGTTGCAATAATTTTTCAATTCTATATTGTTCTTCATATATGTGCTCTCCCCTCATGCCTAATTTTAATATTTGATTGGAATAAGTTCTTTACAACTATATATTATAATTTTTCATTTTCTATTACAACAATAAAAATATTTTTTGTTTAAACTTTTCATTGTCCTCTTTAATGGTGTGTTAATAGATGAAAAAGAGGAAATTTAATATTTTATATGTGAAGAAATGAAGGGAAAATTCAAAAAAATAAGAAAAAAAACATTTAAAGCAGGATTTATATAATAATAGAAATGTATATCATAGAGAGGTGTCATGTCATCTTATCTGCGTTTAGCTTTATCAAATTTTATTAAATTAAGAAAATTTTAGAATTATTTATTAAAACAAATTTGTCTTTGTCACAATCTTAAGAATACTCTAGAAAAGTAATACTACTTAATTTTGAAAATATACATATGTAAAACACGAAAAATTATATAAATGCAGAAGGAATGTAAATTGAATCATAACCTCTCAAAAGTCCTACTCAATGCAGATATTGTTGGAGCCTATGTAGAGCTTTGATTGTGGCCTCTCATTTTTTTTAGAATTTAGAAATGCTACTTTTGCACTATTTGCGATGTAATAATGCTACCAAATTAAAATCAATTAGAGATAATATCCATTTTTCTCGTTCAGAACAGGTCATCAATTATATTTTGATGGATTTATCGAACTTGTATCAGGTAGTTCAACTTTGAATAAACTATTCTTTATTACTGATTAATTTTATTATCAAAATTTCAATCCAAAAACTCTAACTAAGAATTGAAGGATATAAGATGAAACTTTCTAACTACGGTAATTCAAAAGATTAATTGGTATAGAAGAAGAACAATTATGTGTAGTACTCACTTGAATAAAAGAATGATCCATCAATTTTTTAACATCACCAAGCATCACATTATAATTGCATACTTTCTTTATCTTCAAAATACAGAAAACAAAAAATCTTTGCTTAGTAGATTTTATTTGTTATCCCCCTATGTATTATTTATTTTTATTTTTTATAAGATAAGTGGTATTAATAACAGCATCAAGAAGATGCAAAATTTACAAGATATGGCATTTGACTTTGATTAAGAAATTAGAAAGTGATCTGCACGATGCATCAAATATGAAGGACACATTATTTTGAAGGCTATGTTTGAAATCAATAGCAACTTCAATAATATTTATAAGTATATTTGTTTCTTTTGTTGTTAATGATGCAATTATGTTAACGTTACAATTATTGAATTAATAATATTAAAATGTGGAATTTAATATGAAAGATTTGTTCAATGATAATTGTGTATAGTTAAATTTTTATTCCAAACAAATACCAATTGTCTTAGTGGACCGATTAAGACCAAAACAACAGTTACATGGCTTTATTGCAAATGCATTTGATTGTTGCTGTGGTGCTATATTTATGACGAGACTTTTAGTAATTAATAGGTTAATAACAGATATAAAAATGTAATTAAAATTGAGAAAAAAGATAAATATTAAAGCTGACCAAATAGATGTGCCACATCGTCTAGGCTACATATATATATATACTAGAAAAATATGGTCCGTGGCCCAACAAAATATTATAAACGGAAAATGACCTAAAATATCCTTAAAGTGTTGAAATTGGTATAAAAATATCCTTCGTTAACCTATAGGCCATAAAATGCCCTTGGGGTTAACCTTTGTGGGCCTTTTATACATTTTTTTGGCTTGTAACTTGACTAAATCCAAATAATTTTCAAATTTTATAATCTTTTAACTAAAAATGTGTATAGTCTATTAAAATGTCATTTAATCAGTGCAGTTATAGAAGGCCCCAAATGTGAAATAAGTAATAGACGTCTATTACACGTCTGGCCTTGACTCCAATATTTCCCGTCTTAATTAAGGATTTGCTTGCATTATGTGTGGATCCGTTACCACTTCTAATCCATTATTACCAAACTCACCCACCAAAACATCCCTCCATCTTTCTTATTTTCCAGATTTTTACTCATAATAACAAAAATTGTACTGAATCTTATCACATATTCTTTACGTTTGATGAATGTACGTATATTTTGAGTATTGTATGGTAAGTAGATCTCAAATCTTCATCTGGGATTGTTTAAAAATGGAATCTTGCAGCAAATAAACAGAGCCACGTTGAATGGCTAGTGCCCAAGAAGGAGAAGGGCCAGCAAAAGGTTGACCTTTTTTCCTTTGGGATTGATGGGGTTAAGCGCTAGAGCTTCCAGATTACCTTCTTCTGTTTTTCGACCTAAATCTCTGCTCCCCAGCCACCTTTCCACCATGAGGTCAGATTTCACTCTTATTGCAACTTCAATTATTACTACTATTTTCTTTATGGATTCATTGCTACTTCCTCTGTTTCAATTTATATACAGCTTTTGGTGTTGACTTTACAAGGCTATAGAAAGATATACTATCATTCTTTTTGGAATATATTAAAAGGGGGAAGAGTGTTATATAAAATGGAATACATGGAGTATTTATTCCAATTAGTATTAGAGTAGTTGTTCCATTCAGGTTGTTGCTTCCTGTTAGGTGTTAAAGAGTAATCCTTGGATGTTATCCACGAGGTCTATCAAGAATTGGAAGTTTTAGATGAGAGGATTTGCCTCAGTTAGTGAGGCACTCTATTCCAGTTGATAGTTTTTGTAAGTAAGATGCCAATATTGATTCCTAGGTTATCGGGTGCGAATGAAAAAAAGTTATAAGTTTTAATTGATCATTTAAGTCTAGAGTTGATGAAGTTAGTTTCTACAAGTGGAAACATTTAACACATTAGTGTTTAACAACTGAGGCAGTATGTAAGTAGAGCAAGTGATATGGGGATTAGCAGACAAAGTGGCTTTGCAAGAGAGGAAGAAAATCTCTTACTTCAGTTTACCTGCAAAAAGTAAAGTTTCAACTCTATTTGAGTTGAAGTTGATGCAAATGAATGACCTAAGTACAAAAAGGGATCTAATTTATGAAATTCTGACAAACTTGTAAAATTGTAAGACCTTCTGAGTTTTAAACTGAAGATAATTTACCTTGAGCGAGGAACCCATATTTCAGCGTTTAGTTAGTCACCGTGTATCTTTCCTGTTTCTTCAATGTTATAAGCTTTCACACCTCCGGGTAGAACATGTTGTACTGCACAGTAAGATTTGATGTTTTGTCAATTAGTAGTCAATGCAACTGCTCCTTTGATGGAATTTATGGGATTAATCGACATTCACTTTGAGTGCTGTTATAGAAAGCATCATTAGTCTCATTTTGAAGTAAGATCCTCTTCATACTAGCTGAAACTTTGAATTTGGACCTCTTATTAATCATTCATTTGTATTTCAGTTTGACACGCTACTTAGTTATGATACATTTTCCTGCTTGTTTCTTGGAAAAATGGTTTTAGCTTGAATGTTCTCTAACTTCGTGTCGAAGTTGTCGTTCTTGTTTGAATGTCAGCACATGGTAAAGCAGCACCCTCCTGAAAACTCCAACTTTTCAGAGAACATGTTGATAGCCACCATATTTGATCAATTAGGCAGTGCTGTCCTGTGTCATGTTGATAGCAGCTTGCAACTCACAATTAGAAGGCTGCGGTTTCTATTGCATGTTTTATTTAACTTCAGATAGGGCTTGTACAATATTACATTAATCAACTGCAAGAAGCACTTTGTTCAAGTCTTTTTTTCCGAGAAAATAATATTTTTTTGGTCACTTTGTTCATGTCTTATCCTTCCGCTGATCAAATTTTTGATCTTACAACAAGCTGATATTTCCTGCCACAGAAAATGCAATCCCCTTTGCTTCAGTTCCTAATATATGCTGATTACAATCCAACTTGAAAAACTGTTTAGCCCCAACAAAGTACAATTCCGTCTATTTCAATTCATTTGATTTTTGGGAGAAGATAGTACGTGTTAGTGTAGCATTTCTACTTTAGATTTTAATATATTGTCCCGATACAGAACAAGGACAATTTTTGGGATCTCTATTTCCCTAATCATCATCAACATGGCCGCTATAATGGAGCGCGCTGATGAGAATCTCCTTCCAGCTGTTTATAAAGAAGTCAGTGAAGCTTTTACAGCAGGACCATCCGATCTTGGGTTTCTCACATTCATAAGGAACTTTGTGCAGGGAATTGCTTCGCCAGTGGCAGGTATTTTAGTTTTAAATTATGACCGTCCCACAGTTCTTGCAATTGGTATCCTCTTCTGGGCCATATCAACCGGTGCAGTGGGTGCGAGCAAGTATTTTCTGCAGGTTGGCTTCTGGAGAGCTATAAATGGCTTCGGTCTGGCAATTGTGATACCTGCTTTGCAGTCCTTCATAGCTGATAGCTATAAGGATGAAGTCAGAGGGATGGGATTTGGGTTTCTTAATCTAATTGGTACTGTGGGTGGGATAGGAGGCGGAGCTATAGCTACAGTTATGGCTGGTCATGAATACTGGGGAATACCAGGATGGCGCTTTTCCTTCATCGTGATGGCAACTTTGAGTTGTTTCATAGGATTTCTCGTCTTCTCTTTTGTCGTTGACCCAAGGAAGCAAAGCAGTGGCCAGCGTGATATTTCTGAACACTCTGACAGGTAGTTGCTTGTATATATGTTCATCAGTTGTTCCATTTCCTGTGCTGTTGAGAGTTTCCTACTGTTTGGTGTTATTATTTTTATCCTTTCTCATGCTAGGGATGAATTGATAGAGAAAGGACACTCAAATATCAATTCAATGTCAATTTGGATGGAGTCCTGGACAGCCATGAAAACTGTCATCAAACTCCAAACGTTTCAGTTCATTGTTTTGCAGGGTCTAGTTGGTTCCCTACCTTGGACAGCCATTGTTTTCTTTACATTATGGTTTGAATTAATCGGTAAGTGGCCGGTTTTCAGGAATTAGCATGTCGGGTTTTCTTGTGCTGATATAAATTTTGTTTGAGTGTTAACCGCATGAACGGTGATCATAAACTTCTGATGCAGGTTTTGATCATAATAGTGCAGCCACACTTGTCGGTCTATTTGCTGCTGGATGCGCATTAGGATCCTTTTTCGGTGGAGTAGTTGCAGACAAAATGTCTCGAATATACCCTCATTCAGGACGTGTCATGTGTGCTCAATTTAGTTCTTTTATGGGCATCCCATTCTCATGGTTCCTTCTTCGAATTATCCCCCCGTCTGTAAGCAGCTATTCCACATTTGCTGTGACTTTATTCATAATGGGCCTCACAATCAGCTGGTGTGCTACTGCTACAAATGGTCCCATGTTTGCAGAAGTGGTGCCTTCAAAGCACCGCACCATGATTTATGCTTTTGATCGTGCGTTTGAGGGTTCATTTTCTTCTTTTGCTGCTCCAATTGTAGGGATTCTGGCTGAGAAAATGTATGGCTATGATGCCAAATCTGTTGATCCGATATTAGGATCTGCAAGAGAGGCTTTAGCGCTGTCGAAAGGTCTCTTTTCAATGATGGTCGTGCCTTTTGGTTTATGTTGCTTGTTTTACACCCCTTTGTATTGGACATTCAAGCAGGACCGTGACAATGCAAGACTTGCTGCTGCAAAAGAAACAGAGATGATATGACAATTCCACGCTTTTCATTTCTTTGTTTATTCATTCTTCTTGGATCTTTGGGCTCATTTGGATGTGGAGTTTCTTCTGTGAACCACTTAGATGAAATGCTGCTGCACTGCTGTAGCCTGTAGGCCAAAACAACAGTGTTCCCTTCTAATTTTGCAGATATTTCATTTGGTGGTTGCATTAGGACAGCAGATTAAGTCTCCATTACACTTACCTCATCTAACAGATCATACTCAAAATTCAAAGATGTAAACAAGCAGACGCTGTTGCCAGGCATCAGGCACTCCAACATTGCAGTAGTTGCTTCGGCATTGGCAAACTGGAATAGAGAGAGGACAGGGTTTGCCTGTTTGTCTATGATTGTACTTGTAAATCCTGCCATTTTTGAAGTAAGAAGAAAGCCACGGAACTTTAACATAGCATCCTCTTATGTTGGTACAATAACTGACATTGAAGTTGAAGATTATGATATAAACGAAAAGCTCAAACACGACATCTTGTCAATATCACTCTCTTAAACGGAATTTGTTAGTTAAGTTTTCTTCTTAGGCAATGCATCTTTCATCTATATATAACCTTTACATCTGTTTTCTTTGTGTTCATGACATGCTGTTCAGCCAACATAACAGTTCATTTCTTTTTCTAGAAGGAGATGAGAAGTAGTTCCAAGTTCCAACTTGAATGCAAAGCAACCAACCTGCCCACTTAATTGGTATCTGCTTCGACCAAAATCTGTATAAAGGAGATCAATATTTTCCAAATACCTAAATAGTGATATTTATTTTTAAAATATCCATTAATGGATACACGTCAAAGAACTTAAAGCTAAATTTATACTCCATGAAAATCAGACACTCAGATAACATGGCACTGCAAGTTTGCGGACACCATATACAACCCAGCAAACCTCAAAATGATACAGCATCTGATCAGGAACGCTACTGCCAGCATCAGAGGACAGGCTACACGACGCATTGCGTGAAGCTTATATTGACAACAGTTACACCATGCATAGCCCTTTTCACATTTGATTTAAACAACTCAGGATTATCTCCCAACACAACAGCAGCCTCGAGATTAAGGGGATCCTCATGGTTTGGTTCCTGCACAGGTGTAGAACGGGATGAAGTGACTGTATATTTATTATACATATGTATGTGGCAAACTAAGATGTTGCAGAGAACCATAATGTACCGTGAAATGAAGATACAATCCATAGCTAATTGTGCTAATGTTGAGAACAGGTTTCAATCTTCTCTAAGTATATTGAGGCATACATTACCCTCCAAATCAATATTAGGATGATATATACCTGCATCTCACACAGAAAGCTAATGAGAGTTATTTTCTCTGGTTCATGTCAGAATATATACAAGTGGAAGAGAAGTAAAAACAGCTGTACCTTGGTCTTGCACTTGACTTTTGGTGGTTCACGTGGATAGGTTGATGGAACCTGGAAAGAGAACAGAAGCTTTCATATAAAGCATATGCCCTCCGTCATCAGAAATAGCAAACAAAGGAACACAAGAATTCATTGAAAAATCTCACCAGTCAATGCCTTTTGTGCAAGCATGAAGCAACACACAAATTTGCAGGTGCATTAGTCTAAACGATTAAAACTGTATGAAAGCACGAAGTCACTTAACTATAATGTTCTCAGCAGCCCATCTTTACTGATCCTCAGAACATTAACAAAATCAGAATAGATGAACCATATAATTCCTCATTCTCTTACATGGCACAATTTTCCATTTTTAAGAAACAACCGAAGTCAAAAAAGTCTAGCCCATGTAAAGGGAAAATGGCCAGTGAAGGCGATCACGAAAATCTGTCCAATGAGTGTCTTCATTCAAAATACTACAAATCACAACTTCTTATAAGTAAACTACTTAAATTTTTTTAGAGTTGTGCGAGTAAGGCCTTCAAGAACAACTCCACATCTTTCCATTCAATACCTAGTAAAATCATAAGGAATATTGAAACTTTGAAAGGGTAAATTAGTACCTTGGTGGCACCAGCATCGAGGCTGCTGAAAACCAACTCCTTAACAACCCTTGTGAAATAATACAAGATAACCCCTGTGACCGAATTGAGCTCCAAATAGCCTCAGGCATTCGCTTAATGCTCCCCATCTCACTCAGAAGGTAAAAACAAATTCTTAAACATCCTCAACACACGCTGCAAGAATAACAACGTAGTTTTTTAAAAAAGATTTCTTGAATGGCTGGGAAAGCATGCAAATCATCAAAATGGTTGTATTTTGATGTCGCTGGTGTAAAGCAAGCATACGAAACCATAGTTAAAATGGACAGACAAAAAGGAAGCATATACTGTCTCCATAAGCTGGGCTAAAAGTACCTAAGCACCAATATGTATGTTCCAAACTCAACTTCAGCTAGAATAGATAATCAAAACAACTCTACATACAGTAGTCATCAACATACTAGTTTTTCTATGTTCCAAACTCAACTTCAGCTAGAATAAATAATCAAAACAACTCTACATACAGTAGTCATCAACATACTAGTTTTTCCAATTACAAGTAAAACCACAAAAATAGTAAATATAAGAACATCTGTAAAAAGACACTAATGAACACATACAGTCAAACAGCCAATCAGTTTTGTAATGCATGCAATCCTAGAGACTACAACAACCATTCCAAGTTATGAATATCATAGTTGTCAGGCAAAAGAACTTATGTACAGCAGCATGAATACAAGAGAAAAGATGATGTCAGTCCAACATTTTGCAAAAACATTACCATATCTTTCTCCCATCAACACCAGTCCATTTCGTGAGACACCAGATCCTTTAAAAGAAAGTACAGCCTCATATGATGAAGTAAAATAATAAATTGAGCAGAACTTTCTGCACATCAAAATGCATTAGATCAATTTCAAAGTGGTATCAGGAACCACCAATTAATCACCAAAAAAAGTGTGAGACGCCAGAAGTGACATCGAGTATAGTATCCTGATTCGTAATGTTCCCGGTTGCAGCACCACTCTACATCTCATATTGGAAAAGGTAAAATTCCATCATCTTAACAAAATAGAGAAGAAGTCGCGCTAAAACATCCGAGATATAGCTAAGGTACTCAACTGTAATCTCTGGAGGGAGGTCCCTCCATTTTGTCTCAGAATATAAGAAACTCTTGAGTTTTTGTTGGTGCAGATTCTGAAAATGTGAATAAAAAATGTCAAGCATGGAGTTCTATTACAAGATCAGAACAAAACCAAGATGGAATCTGAAAGAGACTCGCCTAGGAGACTTAGAAAGAGACATTGTAATCTCTAATACTATCATGATTAATACGAATGCAGTCTAAGATTATCTTGAAAAGTGGGTGAAAGAAATGAAAATAAATAACTGAAAAAATTCAGCTCTTATTCAGGTCAGGAACAGATGGCAGGAATGGTTTACCTTCCTTTGACTCCCTATCGCGTGTACTTGTGCACTCCCCTTGACCTTGTAATTTGCTATTTCAACTGTTAACAAGATTCATTTTCACACTTGGCCTGAAGATAGAAAGTAGTGGGAGTAACTAATATATTTGATTGAGATAATATCAGAAAGAGACCTAACTAATATTGCATATTCATTTTCATTATCATACAAATATTTATCAAATTGTTGATTCACGGAGTTGATATTATCTTCTATATATGCTTGCCTCATACATATATTGTTAATTGATAATATATATTAGCTTGCAGAAATGCATTTACTGTCAAGCATCCTAATGTAAAGATTGGGACGTTTATAAAACTCATCACCATACTAATATAAATTCATCAGACCTAAATGATCATCTTCAAGGCTTCACTAGCATGGTTAATTGATCAAGCTCATTTTTTCCATTCAATGTGCAAAGGTTCACTTGTCATTTGTTCTACATACCTAGTGTTATTAAACAAGCAAGGTCCTTTTTCTTTTCATACGAAAAATCCATATGCATATAAAAATGTGCACCAAACAAGAGCATAGTAGCGAGCTGGCAAAATCATAAAATTGGCAAGTTGATCTAAGTTACATATTAGTGTCACCCAAGAAATTTGATAACATTACTTTACATCAGAGAATACACCTTCACCACAACCTGGGGTGGAAGATTGATGGGATGATTGACGTGTAAGCTCCGACCAGATAGCTTCTGCAGAATGATGCAGTCTCCTTAATGCTCCCCCACATCCCTAAAAAGCTGTAAAAACAATTCATTTTTCTATTCTAAAAAAAAAAAAAGGATTTCTTGAATTTTCTTGATATTTGCAATGCCAATATATTCTTGAAAACTTCAATTTCTTTGATTCCTTAAAATATGCATTTTAGAATACCAATGTAGTAACTTGAAAAAGACCACAAGTTCTTGGTTTTTTCTTAAATCAAGAATTCCAAGTTCTGGAATTTACCTTCGAAGAATAGCAAGATAAGAGTAGCGAATCTTGGCAGTAGCGTATGAAGCTCATAAGAGTTTTAATCGGACATCGCCGTCACTGGAGAGTTAAGCGCCGGTAGCGTATGAAGTTCATCATAGTTTTGATCGGACATCGTCACCGGAGAGTTAAGCGCCGGTAGCGTAGAACTTCAGCAGAGTAGCGTATGAAGTTCCGGTTTTCTGTAATTAGAAATAAGGAGGATAGTACCTCTATTTATAGGGCATGTTTGGAAAAGCCTCTATACACGGGGAAACGGAATAAAAGTAAAAACTAATATTGACTCAACTCTTTTTAAAATATAAATCAATTTTTTTAATAATATTATTTAAGAACATATATTTATTAATTAATATATTTTATTTTTAAAAACAATATGTATCTTAAAATTTTAATTTGATATCATTTATAAAGGTCCTTATTTGTCTATTGCAAAATTTTAACTCTAGATAGTAAATTTTTATTTTTGAAATATAATATACCCTTATAATTGCACTTGTGATTACATTTTGACAAATAAACATATCATTGTGATTACTATTAGATGGTTTTTCAAACAGGCCCCTAATATTAACGTAATATATTAAATTATACTATTGATAATGTGAAATTTATTATCACACTATAACTTAAATTATTTAACTTGTGCAATTTTATAGATCGATTTAGAATATAAAATTTATAATTCAAAATTTTAATCATAAGTTGTGACATTATAAATTAATATGTTATACATATTAAAAGATTTCTTAAAATAAAATATAGAATTTAGGCAACAGTAACTGTATTTCGAATTCATAGCTGCCTTATGACTCCAATGACAAGTAAAACCACAAAGTACTAATTTCTTTATGATTTTAGGATTCATTGCTACTTTTTCTGTTTCAATTTATATAGGGTTCATATGAACCTTAAAGTTAGTTGTATCATTACTAGGTTGCTAAAATGAGAATTTTAAAGTTATCATACAGTTTTTTGTTTGTTGCTTGAAAATATGATTTTAACTTGAATGTTCTCTAACTTCGTGTCTAAGTTGCCATTCTTGTTTGAATGTCAGCACATGGTAAAGCAACACCCTCCTTAAAACTCCAACTTTTCAGAGTTCATGTTGATAGTCACCATATTTGATCAATTAGACAGTGTTTACCTGTGTCCTGGTTTAGATGGACAACAGCATCAAGCTATTTTTTTTTCTCGTTTGTTCTTTGGCCTTTTAATGTAGGTTTTTAAATGATTTTCTGTTTCAAATGTTGAATACTATAGTTTTAGTGACTTTAGAGATTGGAAAACTTTTAGATGAACCAACATGCCCGCCCACATGAGCTGTAGAAGAAAACCGTAGTTTAAGCAGTGTTGTCACATATATAGTGCAAAGTAAACAGACCTAAGCGATGAGACACAAGATGGGTGCTGAAACAATCAGACGCTTTTGCAAGGCATCAAGGACTGCATCTGTTTCTGAATGACAGTAGTGTCCGAACCAACCTGCACACTTAATTGATATCTGTTTCGACCAAGATCTGTATAAAGGCTCTAATTTCTTTATCATGCAAACAAGAAGCAGCACCAAGCAGACCCCAAGAAAGAAAGAAAGAAAGAAAATATAAAGGAGATCAATATTTTCCAAATACCTAAATAGTGATATTTATATAAATAATATTCGCACGTCAAAGAACTTAAAGCTAAAATTTATATACTCCATAAAAATGAGACACTCAAATAAGATGGCACTGCAAGTTTGCAGACACCATATACAATCCAGCAAGCCTCAAAATGATACAGCATCTGATCGGAAACACTTATTGCCAGCATCAGAGGACAGGCTACACGCAGCGCGTGAAGCTTACATTGGCCACAGTTCCACCAAGCATAGCCTTCTTCACATTTGATTTAAACAACTGGGGACTATCTCTCAACACAGCAGCAGCCTCGAGATTAAGGGGATCCTCATGGTTTGGTTCCTGCACAGGTGTAGAACAGGATAAAGTGACTGTATACTCGTTTTGTATATATATGTGACAAACTAAGATGTTGCAGAGAACCATACTGTACCTCGAAAAGAAGATATAATCCATAGATAATTGTGTTAATGTTGAGAACAGGTTTCCAATCTTCTCTAAGTACGTTGAGGCATACATTACCCTCCAAATCGATATTAGGATGATATACCTGCATCTCACGCAGAAAGCTAATGAGAATCATTTTCTCTGGTGCATGTCAGAATATATATACGAGTGGAAGACAAGGAAAAAAAGCTGTACCTTGGTCTTGCACTTGACTTTTGGTGGTTCATGTGGATAGATTGATGGAACCTGGAAAGAGAACAAAAAATTTCCTCCACTGCAACAACAAAACCAGGTTTGTTTGGATGAGAATCGACACGATTGTGCAGTCATTACATTAACTGAAAACTATCAGCTGTGCAGTAGGAAACTAGGAATTACTTACGCATAGTATCCACCATCTGGCTGAATTTTAATCTCAAAGTTCATCAACTTATCCTTTCCATCTGGAAATGATATTGTACAAGAACGGGGCAGGTTCAGCTCAGTAATGTCTGCAAAAAGTGAGTTGAAGGGGTAAGTCTCAGGTGAGAGTGTTTCACCATAACAAAGATTGAAAGGAAGTTTCATATGAAACAACCTCATGATAGACCACGAAAAGAATAATACAGTGGCATACTGCAATCACAGTCTAGCATTCTCAAACAAATTCAGACACCCCCAACAAAAAAATACAAAATGAGAAAAACAACATTCTTGATCAATCACGCATTGTATTCGTACTTGAAAGAGAACAGGACTTATATATGTTGAGCATAGTTGTTCATGTAGTAATAAAAAATAACACTGCTCATAAATCTCAATAATATCCTTCTTGGAATGCATAAAGTAATGAGATCATCAGCATCTTCCTTTTCTTTTTTTAAGGCAAAATCTTCTACTCAGAAGTCGAGTAGTTATTAATGCTGGAAATCAAGAACACTACATGTTCACAGACAGATAATTTCCATAATTGACATCAGTTTGCTGATGCAATTCACATCCAGCAGCACTCAGTCTACAATATTTTTTCATCCTCCTGTGACTGGAGGCCTAGATTTGACATTATAGACAAAATTAAACTACATAAAAGTTGCCTGGATGATTTCAAGCACTATGTACCAGCTAATAGAGAATCTAGCAAATCTTCCAATAGGGTGCTTCTATTGTCTGCATTAGTATCTCTAGACTAGGTTTAGAGATTAAACTATCAATTGTCATGAGTTTTCCAATTAAGTGATCTATGGAGTTCCTTTCTCCAATGAGAAAATTTCAAATTCATTTATATGTTGTTTCATCCTTACGTTCATGTTAATATCATCCATTTACTAGATATTTCCATGCTGATTACTGCATCAAAGGACATGTTGCTCTGATTGCTGATTTTAATTTTCAAACGAACAAATGCATGATGCTCAAATAAAATACCCCAAACAACATTGCAAAAGATATTGCACAAACAACATACATGAGTTAAAGACCAAGCAAAAAGATAATGTGATCAAAACCTTTGCGTAGACGCAGTTCCCCAGCAGTCTGCTTGTTACAAGGGCCCCTAGCATTGCCATTCTCAGTATCCTCTCTTTGCTTCTCTTTTACTTTGAACAACTTGATCATTTTTTCCTAAAACAAATTACAAATCAGTTCCATGAGCATTTTTGTCCAGAAATAACTTGAAAAGTAGAAACAGTGTTCACAAGATGCAGACAGTGAATTTCGACAAAGGATCATTAACCAACAACAATGATGAAAGTTAAAGATGGTTCAATTTTGTGTAGATCACCAGCTCTACTTGGGCAAAGTAGGGTATTTGTACCAGTCATGAAGATCAATGTAAATAACCTGTCGAAACCCTCTTCAAAAGAAAAAAGAATGGAAGGGACTCCTCACTCCTACATAAAGAGCAATGTATTTCTAAGCAAGTTCATGGTTCCGTATATGATTGGGAAGACTCCTACAACATATTTCAGTATGTACACCCTTATTATAGCAAAAAACTTTCTTTAGAAATCAACGTCAATTTTTTCTCAAAATTTCAATAACTCACAGCGTAAAGATCAATGTAGGTATCATCAACAAAACCATTACCAGAGTCTTAAATTATGTGTAAAAGCCATTAAAAATAAACAGATAAATAAAAATCCAATCTAATGTCAGCAACATAAAACAAAGAACCAATATGGAAACCAAAACTTTTTCCTATAAACATCACCAATATTCAGTATCAATCAATTATCCAAGTAACCAGTTGTTGTAGTCAATTATCCAAGAAAGAAACTAACCCAAAACACCAAAAAAAAAAAGGTATGTATAACGCAAAGGGTGGCGAAAAAAAAAGAATTCCAGAAACATAACTGAACTTCAGTCTTTTAGAACAAGAACATAAATTACAAAACGCAACAGCAAATCTCTTAACTTTCTTTAAAAATCAAGGTTAGACTTTTCTCAAAATTTCAACAACTCACAGCATAAAGATCAATGTAGGTATCAACAAAACCATTACTAGAATCCTAAATAATGTCTCTGTATACTCTAGGTATGTTGTAGTTGTTGTAGTCAACTAGCCAAGAAAGAAACTAACCGCAAGGGTGGCCCCAAAAAAAAGAGAAAGAATTCAAGAAACCTACCTAAACTTCAATCTTTTAGAACAAGAACATAAAAAAATAAAGAAAAATTCAATCTAATGTCAACAACATAAAACAAAGAACCAGTACAGAAACCCAATCTTTTTCCTATAAATATCCTCAATATTCAGTATCAATCCATTATCCAATAAACCAGTTGTTGTAGTCAATTATCCAAGAATGAAACTAACCCGCCAAAACACCAAAGAAGGAAGAAAAAAAGGCATGTATAGGCCAAAAAAAAAAGAATTCAAGAAACCTAACTGAACTTCAATCTTTTAGAACATGAACATAAATAACAAACGCAACAGCAAATCTCTTAACTTTCTTTAGAAATCAAGGTTGAATTTTTCTCAAAATTTCAATAACTCACAGCGTAAAGATCAATGTAGGTATCAACAATACCATTACTAGAGTCCTAAATAATGTCTCCGCACACTCTGGGTATGTTGTAGTCAACTATCCAAGAAAGAAAACTTAACCCCAAAGGGTGGCGGAAAAAAAGAAGAAAGAATTCAAGAAACCTAACAAAAACT